CGCACGCACGCACGCACGCACGTGTGCGCTCGCGCCCCTCTCTCCATATATGTATCCTTTTAAAAGGAATTTTTATTTTGTATGTATGGGTTTTGCCTGCATATCTGTGTATCTTGTGCATGCAGTGTCCAAAGAGGCCAGCAGAGGCCAGCAGATCCTCTGTACAAGTGGCCTGTGTTCTTGTGTTCTTAACTGTAGAGCCATCTCTCCAGCCTTTGCCTTGCTTTTGTTGTTTTTGTCTGAGACAGGGATTTTCTCTCTAGCTCTGGCTTTCCTGGAACTCACTGATTAACATTTATTGGAGGGGGGCTGCACATGTCACATAACTGCTGTGAAGGTCAAGACTGTGATAGGTCTCTGCTTCCACCGTGTGGATCCTGGGAATTGAATTTAGGTGCTCAGGCTTGGCAGCAAGTGCCTTTGCCACTGAGCTACCTCACCAGCCCTTTATTTTAGATTTTATCTTATTTTTTCTCTTGAGATAGGTTTGCAGTGTATAGCCCAGGCTAGCACTAAATTCATCATCATCCCATCTCAGCCTGCCAGGTGCTGTGCTTGCCTGTTTATAATCTGATTAATGCAACAGAAATGCTATGTAAATAGCTATTAAACTGTATTAGAGAACTGACAAGAAAGGGGGTCCAATACATGTTAGATGTAGTTTTTATTATTTTTTTGTTCATTTGGTTTTGGTTTTGTTTGAGACAGGGTTTCTCTGTAGCTCTGGCTGTCCTGGCACTCCCTCTGTAGACCAGGCTGGCCTCAGAATCAGAGATCCGCCTGCCTCTGCCTCCCTAGTGCTGGGATTAAAGGTGTGCTCAACCACTGCCCTGCTCAGAGGTGTAATTGTTAAATTTAACTGTATGTATGTATGTATGTTGTCTCTGAGTATGTGTCAGTACTCCCAAAGGCCAGAAAAATGCCTTGGAGCTGGAGTTATAATTTGTGAGCTATCCAATGTGGATGCTGGGAACCCTACTTGGGCCCTCTGCAAGAGCACATGGGTGCACGTGCACACACATAAATAAAAATTTAAAGTTTTAAAAATATGTATTTATTTATTTATTTTGGTTTTTTTGTTTTTGAGACAAGGTCTTTACTTAGCCCTGACTGTCCTGGAACTCACTCTGTAGACCAAGCTGGCCTTGAACTAAAAGATTGCCTGCCTCTGCCCCCTGGGTGCTGGGATTAAAGGTGTGCACCACCACTGCCTAGCCAAAACATTTTTAAAGATATTTTTTTAGTCCATAGTTGCCTGAATCTCATAGTTGCTTGAACCTATGGGGGGAGGGGAAATGTTGCCTGAATTTTATATACAGAGACTCTTTGTGACCAGTAGAGGGACCCGGTGCGTTGTAGACCTGCCTGTGGCCCCTGATGACTCCATAGTTTTCTTCTGAGAATTCTGGAAAGGTCCCTCCTAGGTGTTCACTGGGGATGTGGCAAGTGGCTCCCTTCAGGAAGGTGACAAACACACTCAGCCAAGTTATTGTCCTTGCCTCCTAGGCTCTTGCTTTGGTGACTTGGGAACCTCCAAGCTGGGGCAGAGGCCTCTGAGCCAGGCGCCTGGAATCTCTACCAATCCCTTCATGGTGAGTACTGCACTATGACATTGGAGAAGCACACTTCCAGAAGACGGTAATGTGGGGTATAACTAAGATCCCATCCTCCAGCACTCGGGAGGCAGAGGCAGGTGGATCTCTATGAGTTGAAGACCAGCCTAGTCTACAAGAGCTAGTTCCAGGGCAGCCTCCAAAGCCACAGAGAAACCCTGTCTTGAAAAACAAAACAAAAACCAAAAAAAAAAAAACAAAAGAGTTGCCGTGGTCAGGACAAGGTTTGGAGTTTTTGTTTTGTTGTTATTTACTTTTCTGACAGGGTCTCAGGCATCCCAGGCTTGCGCACGTGTGTGCCCATGCATCCACAGAGGCCAAAGGAGGATTTAGGGTTTCCTTCTCTATCACCCTCCACCTTCTGTTCTTAAGACAGAGCCTCTCACTGAACCTGGACAGCTAGACTGGTGGCCAACAAGCCTCCTGTCGGTGTCCCCACAACACTGGGATTGCAGGTGCATGAGTGACCACACCAGTTTTTTTTCATGGGCGCTGCAGATTTGTGTTCAGGCTTGCTCAGCAAATGCTTTTACCCAGAGAGTCAACACCCCCTGAGTGCGCTCTCTCTCTCTCTCTCTCTCTCTCATAATTTATTTATTGTGCATTGGTGTTTTGCCTGTGTAAGGGTGTTAGGTCCCTGGAACTGTACTTATAAAGACAGTTGTGAGCTGCCATGTGGGTGCTGGGAATTGAACCCAGGTCCTCTAAGAGAACAGTTGGTGCTCTTAACTGCTGAGCCATCTCTCTAGCCCCCTCCCTTTTTTGAGACTGCGTCACACTTTGTAGCTCAGGAGAGGCTAGAACTCATGATTCTCCTACCTCAGCCTTCTGAGTGCTGGGATTTCAGGTGTGTATCACCACACCCAGCTCTCGGCCCCCTCTGGACTCCACTCCCTCCACCAGCCATGCTCTGTGATCTTCAAGCACAGTTGTGTTCTGTGGCTTCCAGCAATCATCCCACTAACCTATTAACCTTTTGCTATTTCTTTCCAGACTGGAGCCTCAACATTTGCCTCCAAACCTCCAACCACAAACCCATTCTTGTAGCACTGTGTCCTTGGGGGAAGAAGGGGCTCTCTTCTACTTGGCGGGGTGGAGCACCGCTGTCCCTTAGAGCTCTGGTGACCATCTGCCTGTGGGGCATTTCTGTGGGTCTGAGGCTGGGGTTAGGGATCTGGGAACAGGGGAGGTGCTGATGAGTAGCTTGAGGCAGTGGATGAATCAGACTGTGGCCTCCTGGTCTGCCGCCCAGAGGCTTCCTCCCTGCTCGCCTGTCACCTACCCAGGAAGAATCCCAGAAGGAGCAAAGACACCCTCACCAGGAGGCCCCACAGCGGTGTATTTCTGTCAAATTATTAAGTATGAAGACAGCCCTCTATCCTGTCCCTCCTGGCCTGTGGCGAGAGAAGTTAGCGGCCTTCTCCTGAGGGAGCAACTGCTCCACACCCAACCTTCCAAAGCTGCCTCACTCCTCCCAGATAGAAGTAAAGCTGGGAATGTAGGGTAAAGAGGAGGCCTGGTGTTGACAGCCACCAGACAGCCCTGGGACTGGGAAGCTTCCGGTGTCCAGTACTTTTGTTTTCCTGGCTCAGCCACACCCCCTTTCTCCATCTCCATTCTCCTTCCCAGGCTGCCCCCCATCCTAGCCCTCGGATGCCGAGTCTTACCTACAGAGTACATGTGCCCAGCTCCTTTCAAGCACTTTAGTTAGCCATGTCATGTTTGGATACCAGTGTTTTATATTTATAAATAGAGAATTTTCTAATATAGCCTATTATATATACATATATATATGCACACACATATGTAAACAGAGATACACTCAGCCATTCTTGTCTCAGACAACATGGGGGCTGGAGCTGGGCTTTGTGCAGCTCTATAATCCTAGAACTTGGGGCACTGAGATAGGAGGATCACAAGTTCAAAGCTAGCCTGGGCTATAGAGTGAGTTCAAGGCTGGTTTGGGTAACTTAATGAGAGACTCTGTCTCAAAATGAAGCAAAAATGAGGGCTCAGGATATAGTTGAACATGTACCCCAGAGCCTAGGCTTTTCCAAGGAAAGGTCTGCGATTGACTGGAGAGTTTGTTTTCTTTTCTCCACATTCCTCCCGCTGCTCCCAAATATGTGCACCAAAGCTTGTTTGGAGGCAATGTTGGAAAAGACTGCATTTGAAAGAAAACAGTGGCTCTCGGTGTCTTGCTTTGTGCCAGCTGGAGTGGACACAGGTCAGTCAACACGACTGATCCTTGACTTGGCTCTTCCAGTCTGCACTGCCTGGGCTGATAAACATGTGACCTCAACCAAAGGCTGAACTGTGTACCTTCTGTTAGCAAGAGGAAGGGACAGTGAGGGTCCCCATCTGGAGCTGGAGCGCAGTGATCATGGGACAGGCAGGGAGGCAGGTACCTCAGGGAGGTGGACCACACCTGAAGGTGTTCTGAGCACCTTCAGTTCCTCACCTGGGGCTGTTGTGTCAGCAGCCAGGTGTTTGGGCTGTTTGTGCCTCAGAGAAATCCTCCAGCTGAGCAGAGAGCTAGGCCTTGGCCTTGCTGTTTATCCCGGCAGGCCTGGAGGCCCCGCCTTTCAGAGCTCAGCCAAGAGTTCCTAGCCCTTTAAACTGTTCATTCTTAGGATTTCTCTGGACCTTCCACTGGGACCAGCAAAGGGATGTGGGAATTAGGTTATCAGTTTCTTTGCTTTATAGACTTTTCTGGAAAGGTTTCTAGCTCTTGCTATTTGCTAAGTCTTCCCTCTTTATAAGAGGATCAGTCTCTCTGTTTCCTACTAGCCTCTTCCCTCCTTCCCTCTCCTGGGAAGAGGCCAGCTGGCCTCTAGCCTTTGTACCAGATTTTTCCGTATTTTCTATTTACCTTTTGATTTTTTTTTTCATCCTTAGTGTCATTCTGCTCCCCACTACCACCAAGCCTGTGTAGCTCAGGCTACCCTCAGCCTCCCAAATGATAAGATTCCCAAAGTGTGTGCCCCTCCCCATGCCAGGCTGCCCCGCCTGTTTCTTTTTGCTGCTGCTGTTTTTGAGCCAAGTTATTGCTGTGTAGCCCTGGCTTGCCTCGAACTGTCTATGTAATCTGGGCTGGCCTTAAATTCACTGTGTAACCAAGTATGACCGAATTTCTGATACGCTGCCACACAGCTTTACGAGGTTCTGGCGATCAGGCCCAGGCTTCATGCATGCTGGGCAGCCACACTCCCCAAAGAGCCACGTCTCTTGTTTCCCTTTCCCCTCATTCTGCTGTAAGCCAGGAGTGAGGGCATCCACAGTCCCAAGCATATTTTACCCAGCTTCCCTCACTCTGGCTCCAGATCACTTCAGTGTTAAAGAGCCCTCAAGTGAGGTCTCTTTTGCCCTATGTGTAAGTCACACTGTGCTGAATCCTGAGAGTTTGCTGTCTGGGCCTAGGTCTCCCAGCCACCATCCTTCCTATCCTGTCCTGTCTGATGTGGACCCTGGCTTGTCTTCTGGCCAGGGCTGGATGACTAGGCTAAGAATCTGCCCAGAGTTAGCCTCAAACATTCCCTGGGCAGAGGCTGAGGTTGGGACTGAAGCCACTGTCCTTAGCAAAGAGCCCAGCACCCTCCTGCACCTGCCCCTCCAGACCAATGGCAGAAACAATGGAAACATCCCTGATCCTGTAACTTTGTTTGCATCACCTGACTGTTCTAAATCTAGACAGATGTGTGTACTCACACATGCACACAACACACACATGCGCTCACACACAAATACAGGATGGAACAATGCATTTGGTTCATGAATTCTGGCCAGGTCCTACAGGCCCTAGCCAATCTGACTTGGGTCTGTCTGTCAGCCAGTCATCCATGGGCAGCCTCTGTGGATAACAAAGCAGTAGCTGAACCTCTATGATTTTCTCCACATGGGAGTCACAGGTGAGAATGATTGAGGACGCTCACTATATAGCTCGGTCGTGAATCCCACCCCCCCATGCGCACAAACAGAATAAGCCATCACAGGGACCAGACACAGGCTCTACTAAATAGATTCCTACCCCTAACAAAATTCTTCCATAGATGTGATGTGCCCCCAACCTAGCAGAGGCTGAAATATGCCACTTCCTGGGTTTCAGACTATAAAATATGCTTAAGGAGGGCCAAGAGCAGAGTTGTTGCTATGACAGCTGAGGTAAGCCAGGCTTTTCCTGGTACTCAGCAGACCAGGCACCTGGCACTGTGTATATCTTACTCTTGCTAGTACACACGGAAGGTCCTTAGATGGCTGCTGCTTCTTCCTGCTTTATCTTTTACCCAGCACTCCAGGGCTGAGTGACACAGTGTTTGGGGCTGTCTGTGTGACAGCAGATGTGATTTCACAAGGACAGATGTTTGCAAGATGACTAGGTTCAGGAAGGCAGGAAGAAGATAGGGAGAGACCCTTCCTGGATAGCTTCAAATCAATCCTGAGGGAGTGAGACTGTTTTCTTGAGATGAGGTCCTGTTTGCCACTGGAGAGCTGCTGGGACCCTTCTGTCTCCACTCCCCATCATCTCACTTGGGGGTCTGGGTTACAGTTGTGTAGCACCGTGTCCAACTTTCTGTACATCCTGAGGATCCAGCTCAAGCCTCAAATGTGCACAAGCACTTTATTCACAGGGCTCAAAGATACCCAGCTCATGATCACTGCAAGTCATTTCTCTGCTGTTCCAGATTACAAATGGGCCATGGGCCTCTGCTTGGGCTGCCCTTGGATTAGCCTGTGAAAAAGACCCAAGTTCCCCTGCTTGTTAGATGGGTCCCTTACCCTACCAGAGGGAGCCCTTCCCCCAAATACCCTAACAGGGTCCCATGGCCTGACCTCTACTCCAGCTTTCTCACAGGGGTTTGTTTGCACAGCACTGGGGAGTCCATGTCTTCCAAGGCCCACTCCTTGTCAACAGAATGCCCCGTGTCATTCACTCCTTGTCCCTTGATCTGTGCCAGTGATCCTGATCCGGGGAAACAAAATATCCAAGGGGTGGGGGAGACAAACCTCATGGCCCACTTGACCCTGAGAATCCACATGCAGAGTGGGATTCATGGCAGGCGTTGTAATCCCTGTACTCTATAATCCCAGCAAGATAGAGAGCTACTACCAGCCAGGCAGTGGTGGTGCGTGCCCTTAATCCCAGCAACAGCAGCACAGGCCTGCCTAGTCTACTAGGAGTTCCAGGACAGCCAGGGCTACAACTAACTAGCCTTGAAGCTCTCCGGCCAGCATGCCTGGAGCACACAGCACAGCGGCAGAAAGAGACTTTGCCCCAACAAGATGGAAGGCAAGAACCCACTTCCAAAAGTTGTTCTCTGACCTACACTTGCAGGCAACCTGCATAACACACATAATAAATATTTCAAAAGTTGGGCGTGGTAGTGCTCTTGTAATCCCAGTGCAGGGTAAATGGAATCAGACAGACCCCTGGAGCTTCCTGGCCAGCTAGCCTATTAAGTTCCAAGCCAGTGAGCCTATCTCAAAAACAAGGGAGATGGCTCTTGAGGATTGAAACCAGAGGTCGTCCGTCCTCTGGCCTGCACAACCCTGTGCACTCATGGTGTGTGTAGCCATATGCAGTCTAGCTGGGCATTGGTGGTGCACGCCTTTAAATCCAGCAGAGGCAGAGGCAGGCAGATTTCTGTGAGTTTGAGGCCAGCCTGGTCTACAGAGCGAGTGCCAGGATAGGCTTCAAAGCTGCAGAGAAACCCTGTCTCAAAACAAAACGAATACGTAGTCTGATCTCTGATCCCACCCAAACCTCTCAGGTGCAAAGGGTCACAAGGCATCTACCACAGAATCCCGGCGTCTGTGACACAGGTCAGCATTTGGACTTGATGGTGAGGAGCACTTTGAAGGTGTCCCTGAGAGACAGTCTCTTCTTTCACTGGGCACTTGAGTGCATAGGCATGTGGTGGGTATGGTTCGTGACCAGAGACCAATCTACTAATGTCTCTATTCTGGGATATCCATCCCCCCAAGCTCATTTAGAAACCGCAGTTAGGATGCCTGCATACATAGTGCTCAGCAGCTATGATCCCAGAATTACTCCGGAGCAGCAAAGACAAAAACCATCTCTGGGTGGGAAGGAGAGGGACGTTGAGAATCTGCGGGTAGAAGCTGGGCGGGGTGGCTCTTGCCTGGGGATCTGGTGCTGTCAGGATGGCCCGCTAGGCCGCTCTTCTAATCACTAGTCCCATCATTACTAACGACAGCAGCTACTGCACCCTGGCTTTCTGGCTTTTGGGATTGCCCCAGGCTGCCCCTGGCGGCACTCCTCCACCCCCATATCCAGTCAGCTGATTGGCGGAGACGCCCGCACACTCCCCGCCCCTGTGAAAGTTTGGTCCCAACGGCGCGGGACTCCTGCTCTAGCCCGAGTCCCAAACTCAAATCCCTGCACTCGGGCGGGCGTGCGGGCGTGGGAGGGCTAACTGAAGGGGTGGAGATTGACCCCAGCTGGGTCAGCCTTCCTTCGATCTGGGAGTCCCGGTGTCCCCGGCCACGGGAGCGCAGGCACGCTTGTGTTCAGGTTGCTTGCGAGGGCGTGGGGAGAGGCAGGGTAGCTAGAACGGTTGCCATCTCCCAGGTCGCTGCTCCTCGTCCCAAGACGGCGGTGGCTCGGGCGACCAGACCTATCCAAACCAGTCCTTCCGAGGCACTCGACTGCCCGTGGCTGGAGATGAAACCGGCAGGTGCGGGTCCCGCGGTCTCCCCCGGGACCGAGTCCACGGATGTGTCGCTTGGCCCGCCGTTTCCTTGGCCCTGCCCACCCGATGTGCGGCTGTGTGGCCACCTGCGGAAGCAGAAGTCTCAGCGCCGCCGCTTCTTCGTCCTGCGTGCTGACCCTCCGCGTCTGGAGTGCTACGAGAACGAGAAGAAGTTCCTCGCCAGCGGCTGCCGCCCACCTCGACCCCGGCGCAGTGTGAGCCTGGAGGGCGCCTGCACTATCAGCAAGCGCGCGGATGCCCGCCAGCGCCACCTCATCGTCGTCTACACCAGCGACAGCAGCCTGGGCGTAGCGGCGGCCAGCGAAGCTGAGCAGCAAGCATGGTACAGCGCCCTCCTGGAGGTGCGCGCCTCGGCCGCGGCAGCTGCTGCCACCGCTATGGGTGAGCCCTGGGCGACAGGGAGGGCAGGGGGTTGCCGACTTAGCTTATCCAGAACCCGTCTCCCCCAGATCATCAGAGGTTCAAATCTTAAACTTGCACGTTTTGGTTTCCTGGGACACGGTGACCCCCAATCCCTGCTTCCCAGTGACTTGCCCATTCTCTCCAGGTCTCAGTCCCCAAGAGGCCCCTGAGTCTTGGATCTTCGCCCCGTTCCAGGACGTCTGGCCTGTGACACTGAGGTCCAAGGGGCTGGGGCGTGTACAAGGCCTGAGCAGCGGCAGCTATCGCCTGTGCCTGGGTTCTGGGGCCCTGAGCCTCCTGCGGAAGCCAGGAAGCAAAGGCTCCAAAGACAGCCGGGCATCGCCACCACCCGCCCTGCGTCTGTCCTTGCTCAGCGTGCGCCGCTGTGGCCACGCAGACTCCTTCTTCTTCCTGGAACTCGGGCGATCAGCGCCCACAGGTCCCGGGGAGCTGTGGATGCAGGCACCTGATGCAGTGGTGGCCCAAAGCATTCATGAGACCGTCCTGGCTGCCATGAAGAGGCTGGGGAGCAGTGCAACCAGTGGCAAGGCTGAGCTACCATCTGGAGATCTTCCAAACAGTGCTTCTGCAGCCCCTGCCCCGACAACATACGAAACCCCTGCTTCTGTAACGCAACCAAAAAGCCCGGGTGAGAGAGCAAAGCAAGACTGCAAGACCTTGGAAAGGACGGGGCCCACACCCTCCTACAAGGGTCTAGATCTGGGCGGGGACTATATCACCATGGGCGTCAGGGATGACTATGTGCACATGGGAGGGAAGGCTGGTGACTACATGTGGATGGCACCCCCAAGCCTTCCTCCCGCCCCTGCCAGGGTAGATTCTGGCAAGTCACTTCAGGACTGTGAGGGCACAGAGTACGTGCCCATGAATAGATTTTTACCAGGGTCTTTTTACTACGAGCTCAAGGCCAGGGAGCCTGAACTTGGGCATCAGGGTGCCCCCTGCAGCATTAGGGACAGATGGGGACCCACAGAGGCTCAGCCCCGCTCTTCCCAACTTTCAGAACTATCTGGGGATTACATGTACATCCCAGACTCTGTAGGAATGAACAGTGCTAAGCCAGGGGCCCTGGATAGCTGCCTCAACTATGTGGACCTGGACCTAGTCCCGCCCTTGGAGGTGCCTGGAGCAGTCTCTGAGGATAGTCCAAATAGTTATGCCAGCATCAAGTTCTAGAACTTTTGGGGGAGATGTCAGGGGAGGAGACCCAGGCATTGGCCAATGGAGAGAGAAAGAGTTACTAGTGTTCACTTCAGCTCCTGCACAGGGGAGCAAGGGACCCTGAGGTCACCACATCCCTTGTAAGCGGCTATGCTGCCCCTTGTCTGCTCTGTCACTCCCAGCTATGTGTCACCTAAGAAACCCTCAGGAAGAGGTTCTCCCAAGAAATTAGTTTTTTTTTTAATTTTAAAGGGTTTTTAAAAATTTATTATGCATACAGTGTTCTGTCTGCATATATGCCTGCAGGACGGAAGAGGGCACCAGATCTCATAACAAGCTGGTAGTGAGCCACCATGTGGTTGCTGGGAATTGAACTCAGGACCTCTGGAAGAACAGTCAGTGCTCTCAACCTCTGAGCCATCTTCTCCAGCCCCCAAATTAGATTCTTTTAAAGAGAGAAAGTTCTAGAATCTCTCTCTGTCCCAACCCAAAAAAACCCAACCAACCAAATAGAAAGCCCCCAAACCTTACAAAGTTTGGGGCCTTTTCATCTGAGACCCTGATCTTATCTGAGGAATTCCTACAGAATCAATCTCAGGCTAGCTGTGGCCATACCATGGGGGAAGACCACCACCCCAATTTGGACAGCTCTGTCTTCTCACATATTGGGAGCTAGATGTCATTGTGTCCCCTGAACCCAAGAGCTATCCTCACTTAATGTTTTCAAGCCAGAGATGAACTCCTACGGACCTGGCTCAAAAATGATGGGAGCATCAGGGACCATGTTTAGTGTTCCTCTCCCCCAAGGAACCTGGCCTCTTAAGTCCTCCTCTGGTACCAGTCAGGCTCACCTGGCCCTTCTCTTGGCCTGGCGGAGCTGACTAAGTCCTTGCTTCCTAGAGTGCAGCCCAATCGAGAACTGTGGACCCAACCCACCCATTAAAGGTGCTCTGCACCCAGACTGTCTTGGCTGAATGGATTTCCCCACCCCAAGTAGTAGGTGACCAATGAGTAAAGGAGACTTGAAGGAAAGGCAAGTGACTGTAGTGGTTTGAAGGAACCCAACCTGCCTCCCCATCCCAGGCCCCGCTGTGTCGCCTGATGCACAGAGCCTGGTTTGCAAACTAACGGTGATTTATTGTCAGCAAAACAGCTCGGGGGAGAAGCCAGAACTAGCTGAGGGAAGGCACTATGGACAGTGGGTATCTGGGGTCTGTGTGGGACATGCATCAGTGCTTCCAGAACAGCTCTGGCCACCACTGGGGCCTGGGTCTTCAGAGGCAGAGCCAGGGTCTTGGCAGCTGGTAGAGGTCAGAGGGCTTGCCAAGGAGTTAGGTCTCAGCTCTCCCTGGCTCATCTGCAGCAGGCCAGTCAGGGCGATCATCTCTGCCTCACTGAGCCAGGTGGAAGAGCAGGCCTGGGATGAGGAGGGGCGCACAGACGAGGACATGATGGGGGGTGGGAGCAGCAGCTTCCGAGTGCCCACTGCCTGAGGAAACAGGAAGGGAAGTTCATCCCCCCAGGCCTTGCTTGGAGGAAGAAAGGAGGGAGGCTCACTCTTACCTGCTGAGGGGGCTTGGACAGGTACAGGGGAACACGCTGCCCACAGGGTAGCAGAGGGTCCAAGAGAAAGACATCTTCATAGCCTGTCACTGGGAGCCCTAAAGGAGGAGAGCCTGCTAGCTTGGTGGCCTTGGCCTATGTTAACCCTCACTGCAGCTGCCCCAGAAACATCCAACAGGTGAGGGGCCAGAGAAGTACCTGTATCCTTGGACACTTGTGCTTCTTCTGGATGCCCTGAGGTAGGGACCCTGCCCCAGTCATCATACATAGGCCAGGAAGGATGACACAGTGTCCTGCCGGACAAAGATGCGCCTGACCCACAGCTGGGCCCCTGTGGAGAACAGGAAGTGACTGTTGAGTGGCTCCATCTCTCTTATGGCACCTCTGCTACCTGGTGACTGAGCCTCGGATCCCCCAACTCACCACCAGCTGAGGTCTTGCATTAGCCTCGTGAATGGGATCCCAAAGTGGCAGCGGGGTCATCCTTGAGGGGGTGGCCTGGGAAGTCATCTGGGGAGAAAGAGGTACTGCGAAGAAAGGAGACAAGAGTAGAACAGGCTCTAAATCTCTGGGGCTTTGTGGGTGTAAACAGCAAGATCTGGTGCCTACCTGGGGCTTCCACAGTCCGCTCAGGAGCCAGGTGATTGGAGGTCGGAGGCGGCAGCTTTCTTCCGGGCTCAGATGGGCTGAGGGCCTGGGGCTGTGGACTGTGTGAAGGGAAGGACATGCTCTTCCACTCCCTTCCCTCCCCAGGGCTGGCTTAAGTCAGTCACAGGACCAGCAACCCATTTCCCAGCACGGACCTCCGAAAGCGCCCATCGCGCCTCCTAGCGGCCCACCAAGCCCTCACCTGTCCTGCGCCGGCGGTCCTGGCTTTTCCGCGGTTTCCTCTCCACAGCTCCAGTCCCCGCCGTGGTCACTGCCCGTGGACAGGCCTGCCTCCTCGTTGGCCTCCTGCTGGCCGGTGCCCCACGGCCCAAGCCAGGGCAGCATCCTGTGTCTGGTGGAGCGCCAGGCAATACCCACCCCTGCGCCCGCGTGGGGTCCTGACTGCACAGGCGCCCAAGTCCTTAGCCTACCTCAGAGGTGTCGCCACGACGCCTGCGCCAGTTTCTACAGCCACGTGGCACGCTCCCGCCAGGTTCTCAAGGGCTCCCCCTGGCGGCAGAGCCATGGGGCACTTGTGCCCTTGCAGCCCCTCTACCCAGCACAGAAACATCAGATTACCCTGGGACCCACAGTAGGGCCCATGTACCCAAGAAGCTCGCGCACTCACAGACAGGTACACAGCTGAGGGCCAACCTACAGGCCTTTGGGCTTTTCTTTATTGTGTTTGACACAACATTCTTCACCCAGACCGGGGTCTGCACCCGAAGCAGCCTAAGGGCAGGCAGATACCCAAGCGCAGTGCTACACACAGGGCCGTGGTCACCAAGTCCTTGTTAATTGGCAGGGCCCAGGTGTCATCTGTTCCCAGGACAGCTCCGGTGGTGGCTGGGGCCAAGAGCCCTAACCTCTACCCCTAAGGTTGTTCCAGAAGTGCGTGAAGGACAGCAGCGATGTGAGGGAGGCCCCTTCCAGGGGCCCCCTCCTCTTCCAGGATGTGGTGGGGCTGGCACAGGGACTCCTGGGGGGAGGGGCCCAGGTTAAGTTTTCCCCTGGCATTCCCCAAGCAAGGCTGGCGGGGTGGAGGGAGTGGGGGCACGCTCCTGGTAGACACATGGAAGCTGTCAGCAAATGACAGAAGGGTGGTAACACAGAAGGCTCAGGGGCAGGAGAGGCCTGTCATTTCCAAAGGGAAATGCTTGTATAGGCAGGCTGACATAAACGGAGCCCAGGCAGGACAAGGCCTGGCTGCAGCAGGAGCTCACACAGCACACACAAAAGTGACAATCTATACAATTTATACACAGAACCAGGGGCCCATAATGGGCCCACATCCCCTACAAATATAGAGTTCTCTCTCTCTACAAAATAGAGATAATTTAGCTCCCCCATAGCAGCCAGTAGGGGGAGGGAGGTGAGAAGGGAAACAGCCAAGGTCTGTCATCCCTCTGGGGGACAGAGGGCTGGCTAGTGGGAGGACATGAAGGCACCATCAGCACTAGTGGGGTAAAGGGCTACTGTGGGCACTAGAGTGGGGCTTCTGAGGTCAGTGTCTGTGAGGGGTACACTAGTGTCTTTGGTAGGGGCTGAAGGCACCACCGGTGGGGACATGGTTGAACAGGAGGACTTATAAATAGAAGGTAGGGAATGAAGGGCAGCGTGGGTCCTAGGAGCCCAGGAGCCGAGTGTACACGGCATAGAGCAGCAGCATGGAGGCCACGTAGAAGAGGAGGAAGCCACCCAGACCAGAGGAGGGCTGGGCTGGGAGGGGGGCCTTGCCCCCAGCCAGGATCACAGCCTCCAGTGTGGTCCGAAGCCCCTGGGTGGTGCCCCGGAGGAGATCCGAGGGCGAGCACAGGTCAGCCTGGGAAGGGAGGGCAGGGCAAATGGACAAGGGCAAATGACACATGTTAGAAGCATCGAGCCACAGACCTTCCCACCCTTGCCTTCACAAACCAGGACCACAGCCAGAGCCATACCAACAAGCAGACATGCAGGACAGGGAGACAGGAGGGAGAGCAGGGCAGGACTGTGAGGGGTGGGCCCAGGACACAGGCTTCCTGTAGAATTAGATGCCCAGTGGATTGAACCCCACCCCTCATGCATGGTGTTCAGCTGAGCCCAGAGCAGAGTGGCCCCATACCTCAGGGACACCCATCTTCCGACAGGCTTCTAAGAAACTCTCTACATTCTTCCGAGACTTGAGGGCACTGAGCTTTGGCTGGGGGTGGAGGGAATAGAAGAGTTGGAAAGGCACAGCCCCAGTCTTGCCCCACCCCCTCCCTCCTCCTGCTCCCACTGACCACAGCAGGTGAGGGCACATGAATGAAGGGTACAGAGCGAGGCCGTAGCTGGTTGGCCAACTGGCAGAGGATGACCCCACTGGCGAGAGCCTCCGTCAGGTCCTCAGGCAGGGGCTGCTGCAGCCGTGACTCAAGGACCTGGAAGCAGAGACAAGAGAAGCAGGTGGGATCAACAGAGAAGTCACTCCATCCCTTCCCCTCCTCGATGACAGTTCTGGGACAAGGAGGAGTTGAGGGCTGTATGGGTCCTGAGGAAACAAAGGGGAATGAGGTGCCATGCTGGGCCAGGCCTCTGTCTACACAGATACCACTCTGCTCACCTGTCGAAGTTGGGACATGAGTTCCTTCTCATCTAGAATCTGAGGAGACGGCCGAGGTCTCACAATAGACTCTGGAGAGGAAGGGCCTGGGAGGTAAAGGGAATGGGGACAGCTCTGCTTCACTGATAAACTTTGGAGCCAGCTCCAACAGTCTCACACCAATACCACCTCCTGCCTGGGAGATTTTTCACAAAAAGGGACAACACCCTGGGGCTGGAGAGTTGGCTCAGAGTTTAACAGCACTGGTTGCTCTTCCAGAGAACCTGGGTTCAATTCCCAGCACCCATATGGCAGGTCACAGCTGTCTGTAACTCCAGTTCCAGGGGATTTGACACTGCACACAAGAGTATATACAGGCAAAACAGCAGCACACATCAAACAAACAAACACAGGAATAACGCCCTGAGAGACACAGGTCCCACAACATAGGAGTCCTGAGGGCAGACTCACCTGAGCCACTCTGAGAGGATGAACGGAAGAGGAAGCTGTTTGGTCTCTGAATGGAGCCCAGTGGCCTGGGGACAGGAGCTGTCACTGGGGGAAAGCCAAGGGCAGGCAAGAGACACTCCTCAGTGGCCCACTCTTCCCCCAGGCCTCTATGTCCCAAGCACCCCGAAGCCACCATCTAAAATGCTATCCCTACCTGGTCCAGACACAGGGGTGGGCTCCTGGGAGATGGAGGATGGCGTAGGAGCTCCCTGCCCCCCTGAAACTTCCAGTTGGGTAGCACTGGACTTCGGTGGGCCACTGAAGGAAAAGAAGGGACTCAGAGAAGGCCACGAGGAAGGTGTAGGGAGATAGATCTTGGGAGGACACCTACTTGGAGGTGGCCTGTGTGGATGAGGCCGAAGCACCCGTGGCTCTGGTCCCCCGCTTCAGGACACTGGAAGAAGCAGATGAGGGATAAGCTGGACAGTCAGGCCACACATTCAGAAGAAGGGAAGGGTTTTCATCTGCCTGCTGTCTGTAGCTATCCCAGCCCCAGGCCCTTACCTGTCCCTCCTGGGGGATCCCCACCCCCCACTCTGTTGTTGCTGCTGCCTCCGCTCCCGCTCCTGCCACAACTGCAAAGTGTCTGGGTGCCGCCTCTCCTCCCCTGCAGGCTCCTCCCGCCTGGCAGAAGACAGGACAAGAGAGATCTTTGTCAGGTAAAGGGGAGGTGCCAGGGCTGGTGAGTATGGGGCAGCCCAGTGGGTTTGGGGTTGGAATACCTGCCGCTCCCTGTCCTCTCCACATCCCCTGCTACAAGGCTTAATTCAGAAGGTAGCTGCTCCTGGAGAGAGAAGAGCAGAGGCTGACACAGGCCTGGTCCCCCGGGGTTGCACCAACTTCCCCATTCAGTGCCCCTTCACCTGGACAGGGACATAACTGGGCCCTCACCTCAGCTGCATTTCGCTCTTCATCTTCCCCCAGAACATGGCTGTCAATGAAGTCAACCTGCTCCAGGTCTCCATCGCCTGCAGGGCCAGGGCCAGGGTGAGCAAACAGGAGGGGCTTCCAGGCCCACACTCACCCTTCACCCTCTTGGGCAGACTCCCTTGCTCACCAGAGCCATCTTCCCTCTGCTGTCTGGGCACCCGGGGCTCCCGGGCCAGCTCTGAGATCCGGAATGACAGCTCTGAAAAATCATCTGTGGACTTTGAGGCAGAGAGGCAGAGATGGGTCATGTGCTAATCTATCTGCAGGGCTGAGGGCCACAAGGGTTCAGGCCTGAAGAGTCTGAGACTAGGGTCAGGTGGGGAGCCACCAGCCTCCTGGGGATAGTGAGGAGGAGTCCCAGCCATGACTTCTTACTGGGGGGGTGGGGGTATCAGGTACAGGTCCCCAGTACTGAGTCCCTCCCAGTGGTGACATCCTCAATGTCCTTACCAAGGAGGTCCTTACCTCATTTCCTGACCACCTCTTGCTGCCACTGTCAACACTATGGAAGCCCGAGTCCAGGCCGCCATCATACCGACGTCCCGGAAATAAGTCTTCAGCAGGGCTGGAGCAGCCAGGGAGACCTGATCAGCTCCATGCTGGCATCACCCCCACCCTCCCACTGGAATCCAGGGGTGGTCTCTGGTCCCAAGGACCTTCCTTCCCTCACCAAGGGCCTTACCAAGGACTAAAACCTGGGGGATGGGAAGGGACCAGGTCCCCAAGGGCAGCTCCCCGCCTTCCGGCCTCCATTGTTAAATACTTGAAGATATGAAGTTTTCCCTTCAGACAGATCTGTGCGAGGGGCACATGTATAAGAATGAGGTGACTCCCCAAGCCTCCCATGCTTCCTAACAGCATCACTGTCCTCAACGTCCATCCAGGCTGCACCTTACCTGGGCAGGTGGACTCTGTAGGGGGTTGCTATCCAGCAGAATGACCTGCAGGTGTCTGAGGCGGCAGAAGGAGACCGGAATTCGGGAGACACGGTTACAGGAGAAATCCAGGCGGACCAGAGGAAGGTCCCCCAGCTCTAGGGATGAGCAAAGGGAGAGTTAGGAGATGCGCAGGCCTGAGGCCTTGAGTTCTCATCCTTGCCCTTGGCTCTGACCAGCCAGTCACTCCTGGCTTCATCATAGCCCTCCACCCTGGCTGGCTCAGCTCATTTCCCAGAAGAAACCTGCTCCTCTCCCCACTCACATCTGAGCTGAGCCAGATCTACTCCAGCTGCTGCACAGACCTATGAATCCTCCTCCCCTGCCCGCCCCCACTGAAATCCACTCTACATTCTCAAGTGAGCAGCACAAGACAAACCAACTGATGGTCACTGCATAAAAGCCTCCTATAGCACATGGCCATGGCTGCTGAAGTCGGGTGGGAATGGTGTGCAGAAGGGCACACAGTTCAAGGCCAGCCTCAGCTACATGATAGTGAGTTAATTCAAGGCCAGCCTCAGCTACATGAGAATCACAATTAATCAACCAATCAATCACTCAATCAGTAAGGAAGCCTATTTTCCAGTCTCATGTCTTTCAAGCTTTACCTCTTTTATGAAACTTTCCACACAGCTCAGGATCTTGGAATTCACTGTTCCTTCATACTCAAGCAGCATTTGACCGGATCTTTTATGGCCCAGGGAGAACTCCCTACATTTGTGCCCTACTGCTCGGACTAAATCTCAGGGTTAGATACTTAAATCATCAAATCCCTGATAATAGTGTTCTGAGGTGGGATCTATAGGAGGCAGGTAGTGGGTCATGGGTCTCTCTGCATGACTGGATGACTGGAACGGGCTATTCCATGGATGGATTCACAGATTAATGGGCCATCAGAAGTGGCCTTCTATCTGTCATTCTTGTTCTGTGCTGCCCTCTTGTCATCCACAGACATGTGACACTTGCACATATAGATGTGTAGACACCCACAATAAATAAATACATGTTTAAAACAATTATGTTACTTGACTCTCAAGCCTCAAGTGCTGGCTCACACTTACAATCCCAGCACTTGGGAGGCTGCAATAAAAGGAATGTCACAAGTTAAAGGCCAGCCTGGGTCTCAATAAACAAAGGTCTCAATGAGCAATATAGCTCAGTTGGTGGAATGCTGACCTGGAATGCATGAAGCTCTAAGTCTGGTCCTCGGTACTGCAGAGACCAGACAAGGAGGCACATGCCTATAATCCCACCACTCAGGAGGTAAAGGCAGGAGGAAGTAGGGGTTCCAGGCCATTCTTGGCTACATACTGGGTTGGAGACCATCTCTCAAAGAACAAAACAGAAAACAAAGCCAGGTGGGGCAGCGCACATCTTTAATCCCAGCACTTGGGAGACAGAGGCAGGTGGATCTCTGTGAGCTCTAGGCCAGCCTGGTCTACAGACTGAATCCAGGGCAGTCAGGACTACATAGTGAGACACGGTCTCAACTCAACAAAACAAAATTCCTTAGCTTCAATAGTTTTGTTACAGTGACAGAAAATTAATTAAGACCCTTAGCAGACTTGGAAGGCAGAGGTCAGAGGCAGAAAGGGGCAGGAGGAGGCAGGGAAAATGGGTGACCATTAATTACTCTTGCTCTTCAAAACCAAGTTTGTGCCCTTCCTGCCTCACTCAAATCTGTCTTTCTAACTGCATCCATGCTACACATCACACTCCCCTTGCCTCCAGGGTTTGCATATGGTGTTCCTCCGCCTGCTTAGATGAAGGATGGAATGTTCTCCTTCTGAGGTCAGCCGTGCCTGAGCTTCAGGGAGATATCACTTTCCAGGCTCTGCAGAAGAGGCCTGCAGAGCCCGTCTCACTCCCTGGGCTCCCAAGCCTCTTGCTCTAGCAGTGCCCCATGAATGGCTGTCTCTCCTCCATTAAGTCCCTAAACCTTTGAGGGTTGGTCTCAGATCTCAATCACATCTATGGGGAGGGGAGAACCTGAAATGCAGGGAGCACAAACACCAGAACAATGCTGGCTGACCACAAGAAGATACACCTGCTTCCTGACAGAGACAATAGATATATCAAGTGTTGGTCTGCCATAATTACCCCACTGAACAGGGTTGCTTAGGCTCTCATGTCAGGACGCCCCCCCTCCTCCCCCACACTTCCAGTTTAGTCCTTGAGAGGAAGTTCAAGAGCATCACCTGACTAGTATTTCAAGAGCTTTTGCTGGGGTGAGGTGGGTATCTGGTGGGGCTTAGGATGTTACGGTTGACTGGCTTCCCTTCTATCCTTCTCTCCTAGCCTGTTCCACACTCATAAAAACACAACTAGGAACCCACATCTTCCCAGCCTCAGAGGGTTGTCATGATCAGGAGAAAATTCCACTTTTTACTGTTTGCTTTAGATACGGAAGATCCCTGAGCAACTGAGGCAAGGCTACTTTAAAAAAGATGGCTTGCCTATGCCTTCTCCAAGGTAAAGCATTATCTCAAACTCAGGGTTTGTGTCCCCTCCATTTCATATGTTGAAACCATAACCTTCAAAGTGATTGGTGCTAAGAAGTGGGGCCTCTGATGGTAATTAAGGTCATGAGAGCAGAGTCCAGAGAGAGGATTAGCATTCTATAAAATAGAGTTCAGAGACCCCAGGAGCTATCTCTGCTCTATGAGATGAGGAGATGGTGAGGTGGCAGTTTGTAATCCACAGAGGAGCCTAATACCACCTGACCACATGGCACCCTGATCTGTGAGAAATGTTAGTGCCCTTTGGAAGCCCCCCAGTCTACAGCATCTTTGTTAAGTAGCCTAGCTGTTGAAGGCGCGTGTGTGTGCGCGCACACGCACACGCACACACACAAGACATACACCACTATCTGCTGTGCTTCATTTTCCTTACCTTCAGGCAGGGTACTGAGCTGGTTCCTCCGAACATTAAGATCCCGCAGGGAACGGAGGCTGCACAGCTCCACAGGGAGGAACTGCAGCTCATTACTGCTCACATCCTAGGTCAGAGAAGGCACTGTAAGGCCAGGGGATCAGTAGAAATCGCTCTGCCATTGCTCTCTGGCTACTTGCTGTTTGTCCAAGCCTTATCCCCAAGGGTATCCTACTTTTCTCTAGCTACCCCCCAAAAGTCCCTGGTGCCTGGCTCAATAGTCAGTCCCTCTTCTGGCACTTGCCCTTGGTTCTTACAAGCTGCCGCAGGCTTCCTAAGGTGCTGATGTCTGGAGGCAGGGCTCCTAGCTTGTTGTTGCTGACAATAAGTACTCGAAGGGGCAGCTGGCAGATGTAGGATGGCAATGATGACAGCTGGTTCCGGCTGTGGAAGGGAGACAGGCAGCAGGCTCAGTTTCCAGGCAGGACACCCCAGCACTGGGCCTGTTCTGGGGAGCCAGGAGGACCACTCAGGCCAATAGCACTGGTCTCTGAGGTCTACAGAATAAGCTCCACTACCTGAGGTTGAGGTAGGTGAGGGCTGTGAGATTCCCCAAGGCTGGGTTCAGGCATCTCAGGCAATTGTGGTAGAGGCTCAGGCCTTCCAGGGACACCAGCTGGCACGCTGCCTCGGGCACCTCGGGAAACCGGTTCCGAGACAAGTCTAAGGAAAGTAAAGGTCAGGAAAGAGCTAAGGAAAGACTCCGCCCACCCTGCACAAGGGGACTGAGTGTCCCCTGAACCAGCTCCCCAGAGCTCCCTAACCCTAAAGAATCAAGCCCACAGGGCTGAGGAGATAGCTAAGTGGATAAAGTGTCTGCTGCACAAGAATGAGGATCTGAGTTCAATCCCCCAGAACCCACATATAAAAAGCCACATGTGGTAGTGTTCGCCTGCAATCCCACCACTGGAGACATGGGGTGGATCCTTGGTGCTCATTGGCCAGCTGACCGGACAGCCCAGGTCAATGAATAGACTCTGCCTCAAAAAAGTAGTGGATGGCACTTGGAAGAACAGTGAGATTGACCCTCTAGCCTCCACGGGCATGTGCACACATGTACACCCTGGCCCCCAGGGAAGACAACAAGCCACCTACAAACTGAAGCACATTACATACATGACCAGAAAGGCAAAGAGAAGGCCCGAGGGACATAGTCAGAGAAGCCCAGACTTGAGAGGGTATGGACACACTATAAACACCACCTTTAAATTTACAAATGAAGCTACATGTGGTGGCTCATACCTCTAACTCCAGCAATCAGGACGATGAGATAGGACAAGGCTCTGATAGCTAGACTAGAGACGCTGTCCCATCCCCCACCCCTCAAAATAAGACAAATGAAGAGTTCTTGTAGTAGTATGGCAAGGTTCTATAACACTGTGGTCCCGTGTTCTGAGATATCAGGAGAGTTGAAAGATGAAAGATCACAGAAGGGGGCTGTGCTTATATATAAGAAAACAGTCTTACCTGGTGTTGCCTTTAATCCCAGCACTCGGGAAGCAGAGGCAGGTGGATCTCTGTGAGTTCGAGACCAACCTGGTCTACAGAGCGAGTGCCAGGACAGGCTCCAAAGACAGAGAAACCCTGTCTCCAAAAAAACAAGAAAACAAAAAAGAAAAAGAAAAAAAGAAAAAGAAAACAGTCTTGAGGGACGGAAGAGAAGGCTCCATGAGTAAGCACATTTACCACACAAGCGTGAGGTCCTGAGTTCAGATCCCATCACTCAGATAAAAAGCTGGGCATGGGTAGGTACCTATGACCTCAGCGCTGGGGAACTGGGTGGGGGTAAGAAATCAACTGGGCTTGTGGGTTGTAGCTCCAGATTCAGAGAGATGCTGTCTTAGACAGTGAGGTGGAAAGTGATGGAGCAGCACACATAACATCCTCCTCTTCTGGCCTCCATACACACTTGAACTCACTCTCCCTGTTCCCCAAGGGGGGTGGTAGGAAGCCTGGTTAGGGCGGGATGTGACTTAATGGGCCTAGCACACAGAAAGCTCTGGATGTGATCCCAGCACAAGAAAGAGAAGCTGAAAACAGTAAGATGATAGGCAGGAAAGGTTAAGGGGATAATACAGAAACCCCTGGGGGAACCATAGCCCTTCCTCCCAGCTTCAACCTGCTTTCAACACGGGGAATTAAGAACAAGACGCAGGCTGGCTCTAGGGAGTAAGTAAAGCCCTGACACCTGGCCAGTTTTTCATCAGCCTCCAGGGTCAAAGGATTATAAACGTCTAGCTTCAGGGAGCCTAGGAAGGAAAGGCAGCAGGCTAAGCTGAAGTTCTCTTGAAGTCCTTCCCATTGGAGGTCCCTTGTCCCCAGGCTGGCTGCCCTATCCCAACCCCAACAGTCTTGGGTCCAGTATTTGCATTTACCTTAAGCAGAGCCAAGTAGTACAGGTGAGGAAGGGAAGAAAGGTCTTTACCCCCTCATCTCAAACAGTAGCTCACTATGGCAGTGCCTGTGGTTCCCTCCAGTGTGGAGACGCCAACCACAGAGCCCTAGAAGCTTGTGTTTCTGTTTGTTCTGTCCAGCACACAGACCTGGGAGGTGTCTGGGCCTTTTAGGGGAAATCCCAGGCAAGAGCTGTTGTGAGCTTCCTTAAGGGCTCTCCTTTAGGAGGGAGCAAATGCTAAGAGGAGAGGAAGTTGGGGACTATTCTCCAAGGAAATGCCTCTTGTGACAGGAAACAGAGTAAAAACAATCCATCGGTTGTGGCTTGTAGGATGTTTCCCAGGGGATATTAGCCTGATTCCCTACAAACTGCTCACTCTTCTTCTTTGTCCCAGCCCTAGTGAACACAGAGCTAGTGTGGGAAAAACAGTTCCAGAGAGGGTGGAAGGCCTGCATTGGGTCCTCCACCCATACCAGACACCTGCCTGTTTCCTTTGTGACCAGAGAGAGAGGGGGGTGGGAATGTACAGGAATATGTATTCATGGGAGTGGAGACCACGTTGAGATGGGGTAAGGGGTAGAGGGGCAGAAGTCAGGGGCGGAAGGAGCCCAGGCTGGAGGAGGCAGGGCTCAGGGGCACAGGATGTGGTCTGTGGGAGAATGATCTACACTTCTCCTTTGCTAGAAGTTGCCCTCCCCCAACCAGGTTCTCTACTAGTAGGTCAAGGGAATACGGTCCTTGGGTGTCAGGGGCGTCCACAGAGGGAACACACAGGGGTACAGCAAGCAGGAGAGGGTCCAGGATAACCCAGCAGCACAATGCTGAAGCTCTTGGCCTGGGGTGGAGAGCAAGGGAATGTACAGGATAGGACACCGGGTAACTCTGGGCTTCTGTCACACTCAGCCCAGGCCTAGAAAGTGCTCAACTTGGAGGGAGGGGACAGAGGACAGCTGGACATAATGGCACCCACCTGCCTAGACTGGGTTTGAAGAGACTGAAGGAGGCAGAGAGGGGCTTTCAGGAGGCTGGTATTTTCTCACACAATTGAAAGAGCATGTGGGGGGGGGGGGGGCTAGGAGAGCTTAGTCATTTCCCCCAAGAGTCCACTCACTGACACAGAGCCCTGAGGAAGTAAAAAAAAACATTTGGTCTTTGTCAGAAAACAAGCAAGAGGGGGGAGGGGAAAGGGAACAGACAGCTAGTGTCACACAGCTGCTGAGGTCAATCTGGAGCTTGGGGGTTGGGGGGACCTGGGAGCGGTAAGAATGGCTTGTGGGGCTCACCCATTCAACTGTATAGGGGGAAGAATTAAAAACCAGAGATTTAAACTTTTTCCTCTCCAGAGCTGTAAGGGGAGATTGTGTGCCAGGCAGTGGGTGTGATTGCAGGTGGGGAGGCACCTGCTGGAGCAGTGTGCTCTTTGATCCAGCCCTGTATCCCTCACCCTGGAGATGAGAGGAGCAGAAGGGGCCCTCACACTCCAGCCTAGACTGGGGTGGGGCTCCCGGAATGCAGTCCTGTGTTCTGATCCCCACCCTCAGCTGCCAGCCCAAGTTCATAAGCTGAAGCCTGACTCACCTGTCCTAGTACAGTCCCCAGGGCCTAACCATCAACAGAGGCGGGGTAGAGGGGACATGATTAGAGGGATCCCAAATACACAGCAGGGTGGAGGGGACAAGATTAGAGGGATCCTGAGGGCGAAGACTGGAAGGAGGTCAGCACTCCTAACTAAGAGATCCAATTTCCTTCCTTACAGTAAACTGCCTCAAGTTCCTTCCCTAAGGGAAAAGCAGAACCTGAAATGGTAATTCCAGGGTTCCTATGAGGTCACAGGCTCCACAGTGACCTCACAGAGGCAGGAAGAAGATAAAGGGGACAGGGATAATGGATGGAAAGTTCAGGGCGGGAGATTCACTTCTTTCACACAGACCGGCTGGGGTGGACGGCGGAGAGGGTCTGGGACTTGTGGAGACTGTGGTAAAGCAAGCAGAAACGTGGGATTGTTAGGGGCGATCCTCGGGAAACAGGTAACTGGGGCTGTTGGGATCGAGGTGGAGGAGATGAAGGAGTTGAAAACGACCAGAAGGATGAAAAAATGCAGTAACTACTGAGATTATAAATGGGGGCTTGCTTTAAGTGCCCATCACACCTAGGAACCAGGTGAAGGGCGGGACCACGCTACAGGTGCGCAATATGCAAATAAAGGGGAGGGTCCCATGGAGCTCGGCCAAAAGTTTTGTGTGCAAGCTTGAAACGAAATTCATTGTCCAGTAGTTCTTCCAGCGGGGAGGGGAGGTCGCAGGCTCGATGCCAATCCCGAGGGGCGAGCGAGCACTCAAGGCTGCCAGGTGAAGGGGCGGGCCTAGTTGGAACGCGAGGCGGGGCTATGCAAATGAGGGTCGCGGCCCCGTACCGGTCCCTTCCTCTTTCGGGGCACCGGCGCAACTCACCAGCCTGGGTGATGTCTGACAGGTCGTAACTGCGGGCCGCGCCCCGGGGGAAGTGCTTCAAACGCCGGTTGGACAAGTTCAGGGTCCCGGTGGCCACAGCCTCTTCTAGGGCTCGCTCTGCGCTGCGGCTCCCGGGGAGACCAGGAGACCCCGGCACGGAGACAGAAGCAGCAGCTTCCTCACCCCCGGCGGCGAGTGGGCCCGCTACCACCGCCGCCATCCGCTCCCGGCGGCTCCCGCTGCCTGACTGACGGCACCGGCCGGCCCTCCTCGGCCCTCCCCCACCTCGGAGCCTCCGTAGTCGCCGCTGGAGGGAGGAAGCGGGTCAGGAACTCCGCGGACCAATCATGAACCAGAGACCCGTTAGAACTGCCCAATCAGAAGACGCCAAGGGGGTGGAGCTTCTCAATTCCAGACTCCACTGAGGGACGGGAGGGGGTAAGAGCGGAGCATTCGCCAACGGCCGCGGCTTCTGGCCGGGCCGCCCCGAGCAACGACATCCAATCAGAACTCTGGAGGCTAGAGATGGAGCCAATGAGGCCCGCTCAGGAGGCGGGAACAACAGCTCTCAACTTCAAGGGATCGGAGACCCCGAGACCGCAAGCCTGAGAGCCAGGGCGCTTTCAAAGGAGACCAATTGCAATCTAGATACAGGCGAGTGACTGTCAAGACCACCAATTAGAACCTCGAGAGGGAACCTGTCCCGGCCTCTCCTGTGAGGGACGGCTCCGCCCACCAATCGCATAGGCGAGGAGGCGGGGACGCGTGGAGCGCTGAGACCCAGGTAAAGACTGAGCGCTGCGTGCTGGGCGTGCTGACGACGCAGTGACAGAGTGTGGTCCTCGCTGGACGTATGGGGAGCGAGCCAGCGTCCGGGAAGTTAGACAGGGCGAGGGCTGGCCCAGGCCTGCGTGCGGGCTCGTATCTCAACCCAAGGGACGGTTTCCTACTGTGCAGCCTGAGTCCCAGCTGGGGACTCGTGGGTCTCCAGATCTGCCAGCTCCACCAGAGTCCCCTGGACAAGACTCGTGATGCCCAGACCAAGTTTTAGAGACTACGAAGGATCTCAGGATCTTCTAGAACAAGACTTGTTTTTTTGTTTTGTTGATTTTTCGAGACAGTTTCTGTGTAGCTAGCCCTGGCTGTCCTGGAGCGCGATCTGTATGAAGACCAGGCTGGCCTCGAACTCGAGATCCGCATGCCTCTGCCTCCCGAGTGCTGGGATTAAAGGCCTGCGCCACCACTGCCTAGCTAAGATCTTCGTTTTTTTTCAAAAATGAGGAAACTGAAGCTGAGCAAATATCAGGGTTCCCACTTTCATACTGAACTCAGTCGTTTGGAAACCTCTTATTTTAGAGGCTTCTAGCCGTGTGTCGTGGCATGAGCCTGCTATGCCAGCATTTGGGAAGAGGACCAACACTTGGAGGTCAGTTCCAGGGCAGCCTGGAACATGAGACCCTCTGTCTCAAAACTAAATTTTTTTTTAATAGTTTTTACTTCTTGAGGTGAAATGGAATACAGAAAGTGGTCCCAAATGGGAGAAGTTTAGTAAAAGAATACTTTTTTTTTTTTGGAGGTTTATTTACTTTTTAAAGAATGTTCGCATTTAATGACTCCCTGTGGGGCTCCAAGCCAATAGGAAACAGACACCTCCTCCACCCTTAATGTCATCAGCTCTTCTGTTGCTTAGCCAGTTTTCTCATCCGCAGAACTCTGTAGTATCCCACTGCATCAGTGACAGGAGCAGCTCCAGTCTTGTTTTTTGGCGGCATTACCAGCTGTGATGAGTGTCCACAGTTTATTGAGGTTGACAGTTTGAAGCTCAGGCTCCTCTTTAAGGGGCACCGGCTCACACCAGCTTTCCCAGAGTCACCTGGATGACTCTGTCCAAGTTGAAGCTGTGAGGAGGCGTGCCACCAGCGTCCTCTTTCCCCTCCTGGGCACTTCCAGTACTTACCAATGTGGATATAGCTATGGCTCACATGGTCCTGGAATTTCCGTCTTTTTCTCAATCTGGGTGGCATGGTGACCTTTTAAAGGAGAGAGGGAGACTGGCTTCTTGAGACAAGGTCTCATACAGCCCTGGCAAGCCTCCAGCTGGTTATGTAGCTAAAAATGACCTTGAGCTCCTCCTGTCACTGCCTCCCTCTCAAGTACTGGGATTACAGGTGTGCACCATCATGCAAAAATTCCTTTGCTGTGACGCAAGACCCTAAGTCAGCTTCCTGTGTTACCTGACCACCAACAGCTGAAGTTGCTGTCTCATAAATCACACCTGTTATGCTAATATGCTTAAACATTTGTTAACTTACAATTTGGGAGAGAGTTTAACTGGTTAAGAGTGCAAACTGCTTTTGCAGAAGACGCTCTGCTTGAAGCACCAATAGAGTGGCTCATAATTGGGGGTGATGGGAAGGGGAATCCCAATGCCCTCTTCTGGCCACCACAGGCACTGCACTCACATTCCTACACACACACACACACACACACACACACACACACACACACACACACACAACAAAAAAAAATTAAGTCTTAAGGGGTTGGAGAGAGGTGGCTCAGAGGCTGAGCACTGGCTGCTTTTTTGTTGTTGTTTTTGTTTTTCCAGACAGGGTTTCTCTGTGTAGCTTTGGAGCCTATCCTGGCACTGGCTCTGGAGACCAGGCTGGTCTCAAACTCACAGAGATCCACCTGCCTCTGCCTCCCGAGTGCTGGGATTAAAGGCGTGTGCCACCAATGCCCAGCACACTGGCTGCTCTTATAGGGGACCCAGGTTTTGTTCCTAGCACTCACAAGGCAGTTCACAGCCATCTGAAACTGCCAATTCCATGGGATCCAGGCATGTATATGGTACACACAAATGCAGGCAAACACACAATCTAAGCAAATGTTCAAATAATAGCTGGACTTGATGGCCCACACCTTTAATCCCAGCACTCGGGAGGCAGAGGCAGGTGGATCTCTGTGAAATCGAGGCCAGCCTGGTCTACAGAGCGAGTTCCAGGACAGCCAGGGCTACACGGAGAAACCCTGTTTCAACCCACACACACCCAAAAAGAAAGCCGGTGTTGGAACAGAAGGCCATGCACACATTAAGTAGATGCCCTCAGGTGAACTGTATTTCCCAGTTACCACAGATAAGGGAGCTGGTGTGGGTGATGAACATCTGGCTACAGCAGTGAATGGATCTGCTAGGCAATTATGCACTGGTTTCCTAACAGAATTAAATCCCTTTGTGCTCCCAGAAAAGCCATATTCCTTACAGTTATTGGTGTAGACCTTCCTACCTACCAGATGCAACCTCATCTGTTGTTTCTCCTGGACAAAGTCACTCCACAGAAAAAGCCAAGTGTTTAGGCTCTACAAGATGCCCTAAGTTCCAGAAGAAAATTCTCCCTTCCCCTACCTTAATAGCTTGTCCTTTGCACTCAAAATGATGCCACCAGTCACCCAGAAAGCAGCATGTGACTTGGGACTTGTTTTCAATGAACTTGTAAAGAATTGGTGTGCCATTGTTCTCACTTGCATCTTGCTTTTGTGAGCAGTTAGTTAGATCCCCTTTTCTCCTTGTCATTGTCCATCCCTCCTCCTCCTCTTTTTTAAGACACTGTAGCATATAATGCAGTAATGCAGGCTGGCCTCAAACTCATTATGTAGCCAATAATGACCTTGAACTCCTTCCTGATGCTCCTGTTTCCACTTCCTGAGTGCTGGGATTGCAAGTGTGCACTGCCATATTGTGTTTTATCTGGTGCTGGGGATCAAACCCAGCTTTATGCATGATAAGCAAGCACTCTGCCCACTAAGCTCACATCTAGTCCTTCTGGCTTTGTACTCTTGAGCTACAAATCCCCGGAGACTGAGGACTACCCAGGAGTGAGAAAATCTACTACTGCTCCCTAAGAGGGGAGGACTTACCACCTGCCAATAATTCACTCTTTTTGTCTCCAGTAAAACATGTATCCCATGAGTCACCTGGTCACTGGATCTGAGCTAGAACCCAGAAGCTAGCTCTGGGATTAGATTAAGGAGAATAGGTCACAGTCGCTGGACAGTGAGGTCACAAAAAGGTTTATGTGCCCCAGACTCCATGGGGGTGGGGCCTAGATGATAGAGGGGCCCTCGAGGTCCCCCAAGCCCAGACTGGGGACATGGTGTGGGAAAGGCAGCGGGGACGGGGGCCTGGGGCCTGGGGAGCCAAGGGGCCTGGAGAGATGAGGGCAGGAGCAGGGAAGGGACAGTCAGGATGGTGAGAAGAAGTCGGAGACAGAAGCTGCAAAAATTGACCAGGCTGTGCAGACAGGAGGAGGGGCTCAGGGTGAGGGAGGTGGCAAGGCAAGGGAAGGGCAGGGAGTTGACTGGCAGCAAGAAATCTGGGCACAGGTCAAGTCATAAGGCCAGCAAGGGAGGGGTGAGAGCCTGAGGCCCTGCCGAGAAATGGGACGGCTGGATTTGCTAGCATAGAGTTGGAGTTGGATGAGCCCCAAGGCAGGAGTTTACAAAAACAAAGCAAAACAGTTTGACAGCAGAGAAGAAAAACAGGTGTGACCCCACAGAAACCCTTTATCCTCTGGCAGGTAAAGCGCGGCTGCCCTTCCTGTAGTCTGGAGGCTGGGGATGAAAAGGAGAGAAGGGACCCTATTTCTGTTCAGTTGTTCCCCCCAGAGCTGGTGAGTCTTTAGGGGTTTGGTGGGGGTGGTGAGTACAGGGCTGAGGTGCAGCTGTGACTCCCCCATCCCCTCCCTCCTGCTCCTCCACAGGTGGAGCACATTGTCTCATTCCTCCCAGTCAAAGATGTTGTCGCTTTAGGCCAGACCTGCCACTACTTCCATGAAGTGTGTGATGCTGAGGGCGTATGGAGACGCATCTGTCGAAGGCTCACTCCACGCATTCGTGACCACCGCGCTGGTGCCCGGCCCTGGAAAAGAGCTGCCATTCTTAATTGTACACTTCCCCTCAGTAACAACTTCTCCTAGCCTCTGTCCTTCCTTATTCTGGGAACTTCCTTCTCTGTCAAATTACCTGGTAATCTTTGTACCCCTGGCAGCCTTTTCTCTAGAAGACACTTGTCCCACTCAAACACACGCCATGGAGTACTTCTTCCAAGGTGCTCCAGCCACCTCTGGCAGATACCCAATTCACAGCTCTAGCACCATTTCAGCCAGGTCTCCCTGCATGTGCTAAGTCTTTCCAGATCTTACCCTAGAGACACCCCTACTCCCCAGACCTGGAGTTTCTCCCTCTTTTAAGTCAGAGTTAACTTTGTCAGCTTTTGCATGTGGTGTGTGTGTGTGTGTGGTGTGTGTGTGTGTGTGTGTGT